CTATAAAGCTGCATTTGAACATGACCCAAGGAAACATGGCCAGCAGTCAGCGCACACAAGGGAATGAGGTTTCCTTCTTAATTTTACTAAATGTGAAGTGAAACATCCAGTGGCTACAGCCAGATATGATATGTTCCACTTTCTGAATTGATTACAGATAGAGTGATTGCTGGTCTGAGGCTAAAATGTGGTTGTTGTTACTGCTGTTGATATGGTGATTAGATGGTTGTTGTTGTTCTTTTAAAAAGCCAAAGCTAATTTTGTTATTGATCAAATTATTTAGATTAGTAAGGAGTTTGGAAGGGAGCATTATGCTATGTAGCCCACTTTCCATAGTCATTTGTGAGACTTCAATAACTATTCCTTTCAGCTCAGTGGGTTTCTATGAGAGGAAACTTCATTAAATAAAATAGGATTTTCTTTGCCTGTTATTCAAAAATATCAGCTGAAAATGTGAACCTCTGCACATTTCAAAGGTTTAGGTTTCATGATTTCAGTATAAAGCTCTTCAACACTTACTGAATTGAGCTATCCATCTTAGATTGCTTAGATTCTTATAGGACGTGTTGTACCAGCCTACAGTTCCTGTCCAATTTTACAAAAGATAAGGAAGTTGCATTAGTAATGAAGGTAGTTGCATTAGGAATAAAGATAAAGTCTGCAAAGTAGACCTTGTGTTTATTCCTAAAGCAACCACCTTGTCTTTAATACAATTGGGGAAGAAACTATGGACTGGCACATCATGTCCTACAAAAGACTGAGGAATAGCCAGTCAATTTAATCCTGGCAACTACAGGGATGCATCAGTATGCTTTTCTTATCAGTGGTTTGCCACTGTCATTTTCTGGGACTTTTTTTTTCAAATTTCCAATCTAGCCGATAGCTCTTCCAATGGCTTTCCTTCCAAGCACTATCTAAGCCTGTCTTTGACTGTAAATAAAATCCATAAATTGCTGCCATTAGAAAAGATGGGATGATTATATAGAATGTTCCTATACAATTGATTCAACATTATGTTCTGTAAGGTACTTATAGGATTCATCCTCATGATTGTGGCAATGTGCTTTCCTCATATCCCTGAGGCAGAAACGAAGGAGGTGATTTTAGAAAGCTCTTGCCCTGCAGCTTAGCTTTGCCACACCCCAGGAACTGAGCCAATCAATGTTGCTACTCACTTCAGTTCAAGGTATTCTAAGGCCCATTGATTGGTACATCCCCTGTTCTTTTCTCTCCTACCCAGCATTGCCCTGAATATGTGGTAGGGTGAAGTTTGGATGTTTAGCTGAAATGTTGTTTCAGTCAGGCCTAACTTCCCACCAATGCCACATTCTTAAGTTATTCCTATGCACATCTGCTTTTGGAATTGCTTCTACTGAAAGTATGAGACTTGCTTCTGCATAAATACAGGTACTACTGGACTACTGCAACGTGCTCTACATGGGGCTACCCTTGAAAAGTATTCGGAGACTACAGTTGGTCCAGAATGCAGCCGCGCGAGTGATAGTGGGTGCTCCTCGATACACCCATGTTACACCTATCCTCCGTGAGCTACACTGGTTGCCTATTGGTCTCCGGGTCCAATTCAAGGTGTTGGTTATTATCTTTAAAGCCCTATATGGCTCAGGGCCAGGCTATTTGCGAGACCGCCTACTACCTCCTAGTTCCCTACGTCCGGTTAGATCCCACAGGCTGGGCCTCCTTCAGGTCCCGTCGGCCAAGCAGTGCCATTTGGCGGGGCCGCGGAGGATGGCTTTCTCTGTGATGGCACCCACGTTTTGAAACCAGCTCCCCCCAGAGATTAGGACCGCTCCCACCCTGTTGGTTTTCCGTAAGCTGCTTAAGACCTGGCTTTTCTGGCAGGCCTGGGGTTTATAAAATCTGATCCCTGGATGACTATAATGGTACTGTTCGTTTGTCATGTTTTATGTTGTTTTTATTGTTAGCTGCCCAGAGTCCTACAGGAGTGGGGCGGCTTATAAATTTTAAAAATAAAATAAAATAAAATAAATAGTCCTCAACTTACAACAGTTTGTTTAGTAACAGATCAAAGTCACAATGGCACTGAAAAAAGTGACTTATGACTGTTTTTTATACTTACAACTGTTGGAGTATCCCCATGGCCATGTGATCAAAATTTAGACATTTGGCAACTGTTTCATATTTATGATGATTGCAGTGTCCTGGGATCATGTGATCCCCTTTTGCAACCTTCTGACAAGCAAAGTCAATGGGGAAACTGGATTCACTTAACAACCATGTTACTAGATAAGATAAGATAAGATAACCTTTATTGTCATTTTTATACTGTGGGCACAATGGCACACATCAAAAATGAAATTTAGTTGCCCGCTCTCAAAGTGAAACACATACATGACACACACCTAAACATACTATGAACAACATATGTATAGACCCACATCCCTACATATATGTAGCAAATAAATATTAAATATTAATATTAAATATTAATACTAACTTAACAACTGTAATGATTCACTTAACAACTGTGGCACACAAGATTGTAAATGGGGCAAATCTCACTTAACAACCGCCTTGCTTAGAAACAGAAATTTTGGTTTCAGTTGTGGTCAAAAGTCGAAGACTATCTATATACCAGGATTCACACTGCCTCCGTACTGAAAAGGAGTCAAGACTTGAAGAATTCAGCCAGGGGAATGTTATGCCTCACATTAACCAATGGAGGGACGCAAGTATTTTTGAATGCCTCTCCATTGCAGATGTTTCTCTCTCTTTCTCCCCCCACACACAGACACATTGCCCGCACACAAGAATGCTCTCTGACTGCACTATGCATCTGTTCTACTTCATTATGCTTTAGCAGTGGGCCAGAAACAAAATGGAGGCTTAATTGTGAGCTCAAGCTATGGCAGCTGGGAAACGTAGATGATACAAACTCTGTATACTTGGTTTACATTAGTCTGAGGGAAGGGCTGGTGGCATGCCTGTATGATTTTTTTCCCTCTCCAGGATATTTCTGTTGTTGAACACACAACATACTTCTGTTTTCTCCAATATTCTTTTTCAACATGTTCTGAAAACATTGGTATTTCCCTGACGAGAATGAAGTCTCCTCGGTGTTGGCTACATCCCATTGGGGCACACAAGCAGAGCTTGTTACACAGATCATTTTTTAATTTAATAATTAGTTTGAGTCAAGGGCCAGTTCATATATAATTTCAGCTTTAATAAAACAAAAGTGCAAATAGTGCAAATATCATTGTATTTTTAAGGTCAAGCTACCACACACAATCTTTATATATAGGAGCTTCAGGGAACGGGGTAGGCAACCTTGGCTCTTTTATGACTCGTGGACTTCAACTCCCAGAATTCCTGAGCCAGCTATGCTATGCTATGCTGGCTCGGAATTCTGGGAGTTGAAGTCCACGAGTCATAAAAGAGCCAAGGTTGCCTACCCCTGGTTTAGTTAAACATCATGATCATTATGCTATAAAATAAAAGGTTTAAAATGCCTTTGCAGGGCTGCTTATCCTCTTTGTTCTCCTTGGTTCCATATCATAGTCTATATTAATCTATATAAAGCATTTATAGTTGTGCAAAAATTAAATAATTAAAATATCTTGCCCAATGTGGATAGCAGATATTTTGCACAATTACATTTCAGGGTTTAGGTGTTCACAGGAGGAAAGTAGTGTTTTTCTTTTTTTTTTCATATGGCCATCAAATAAACAAACATTCTCTATAGTACTTAGAGCAGAAAATTGCAAGTATTTTGACATTTTTTTTTAATTGATCACACATGCCTATTGCTATGCTCCAAAGAGCAAAGGGCATCTTGAGGTATCTATGAAGCTTTTCCATTTTATCCTCAACTCATCCATAGGAGATGAATTAAACTGGGAATTTATTATCTGGATAAGGTCACCCACCAATCTTCAAGTCTGAGTATCAATTTGAATCCAGATCCCTGAATTCGGTGTTGTGCCTAGTATATTCTTCTAAGTTATTTAAGATGCATTCACATGTTAATTATTAAACCACTTCTGTGACTACTAGGCATACAAATGTACTCAATCCAATATTCTCAGTCCCTTCAGAATTCAAATGTTATTATCTAGAAATGGTTTTTAGTATCAGGAAAGTCTGTGAACTTGTAATGGGCATTCCATGATCTTCCTCTCAACTAGCAGTAATAAATTTACTTAATTTTATCTACTTTCAGAACACACACTTGGAATTTTGGAATGTTATTCCTACAAACTGGTACATTATTCGGCCAAAAACATTGATCATTATTTTGTATCCCTGGTTACTGCCAACTTGTTGTTAATCTGGTCTTAATCAAAACAGGTGATGCTGTTTGCCAAACTATATACGGTAATCACATGCAACAATATTAAATAAAATTGAAGAGTTTATGATAACTCTTGTCGCCCTTTTCACTGCACGATTCAAAACTGATCGTGATACAGAATAATGATACATAGAACACATTTATCTGTGCATAATATTAAGTACGGAGTATTTCTGCTCTGTTAGCCAGAGCCTTTTGATGGTAGGACTTAAGGCCAAAGTTGAGGGTTGCAGTAAAAGGCACCTGCCAAGGTATCTGCTTTAGCAGGAGGTAGCTCTGTCAACTTTGAGAATTTTCAACTCAGAGCTTCTTCTTCATTTATACTCCTGAGTCTTTGTTCTAGCAAGAAAATACTGATAAAACAAGGAGAAAGATAAACTTCTTTGGGCCTCGGTTCTATGTGATGTCATGGACTGAACCCTGAAGAAGGAAAAAGAATGGTTAAAAGTAGAAGCTGATCTGTGAATCCTTACTGGGGTATTTCCAATATGCCATTCAAGAACTTAGAATTAATCCTGGCTTATTGCATTTCTTGGAATATTAAATTCTAATCGAAAGTCCCGTTCAGTCATACTCCAATACTAGATAACCTTTAGGTGTACAATATCTTTCTAAAGTATGCATTGTTTTCTGATTGATATGTAATTCTTTTCCTTCTCCCATGTAGGTTGTTTATAAGAATAATGATATTCGTCTGGAGTTATCTCGTTTGGCAAGGATTGGTGACACAAAAATGAAAATCTACGGGGAGGTGAAATTTACATGTGAAAATGTGGCCACATTGGATCCAATCAATTTTGAAAATCCCGAGGCCTACATTAGTCTGCCTAAGTGGAACACCAAACGAATGGGCTCCATCTCTTTTGACTTCCGCACTACAGAGCCCAATGGCCTTATTCTTTTCACTCATGGTAAACCCCAGGAAAGGAAGGATTCCAGAAGCCAGAAGAACACCAAAGTGGATTTCTTTGCAGTAGAACTCCTGGATGGAAATCTCTACCTTCTTCTTGATATGGGCTCTGGAACTGTCAAAGTAAAGGCAACTCAGAGGAAAGCTAATGATGGAGAATGGTATCATGTTGATATACAGAGAGATGGTAGATCAGGTATGCACCAAATCCTTGAAAAGTGACTGAATATGATCTTACTTCAGCTTTCCTTTGCTTTACAGACCTGCCAAGTCAAAAGTGTGAGAACTGATGAAAAAGTTACTTTTTCATCACCAGTGTCCCTGTGAATAATTGCTAAATGAGGCAGTTGCTAAATGAGGACTATGTGTAATAGCTTTCAAAACCATATATAAAAATAGCCTTTGGAACTACTGACATCATCATAGAGCAATAGATTTGTTATACTTCATAGATTTTCTAGTTTATCAAGCTAGTTACTGTACAGTCTGACAGTTCTGCTAGGAGACAGTAACGTGTTTCAGGACAAATGTTTTCTGTCCTCTGTTTAAAAAGAAGTCCTTGATCTTCTATACTAAATTTTTTGCCCTTCATCAGAATTCAAACTACACAGGAAAGTGATTTGCTTTATCTCTTGGACTCTTGCTTGACCTTCCTTTCTTCTTTCTTTCCTTCCAGGTACCATTTCAGTTAACAGCAGACGGACACCTTTCACTGCAAGTGGAGAGAGTGAGATCTTGGATCTAGAAGGAGACATGTACCTGGGAGGACTGCCTGAAAATCGGGCTGGGCTTGTCCTTCCTACTGAGCTATGGACAGCTATGTTGAACTATGGTTATGTGGGCTGTATCCGAGACCTCTTCATTGATGGGCGGAGCAAGAACATCCGGCAGCTGGCAGAGCAGCAGAATGCAGCTGGTGTCAAATCTTCCTGCATTAGGGTCAACACCAAACAGTGTGATAGTTATCCCTGTAAAAACAATGCTGTCTGCAAGGATGGCTGGAACCGCTTCATCTGTGACTGCACAGGCACTGGCTACTGGGGAAGAACATGTGAACGGGGTAAGTTCAGAATTCAGAAAGAGATTTTATCCAGAGTTGAATGTTGTTTGTATGGCATTTAAATTTCTTGATATTTTATGTTATACCTGGGCATTTTACAGTCCCTGGGCCACATCTGGCCTTTGACTGTCCCTATCACTACTCTACGATCACTAGGTCATCAGGAAAAGAGTTTTTAATCAAAACACTTCTTCTCTGAATCTGGGCACTTTTGGCATTCAGTATCCTGAGGAATTCAGCCTTGATTGCTTCCAGTGAATTGACCTAAGCGGCAACTTGTGAATTAAAGGGCAGATTGAAATGTCATTATGCTCCAACTTTTGTTTCAGCATAATTCTTACATTAAAGTAAAAACAATAAAATAAAAACAAATGCACAAATATATTTTGAGATCTAAACCTAAATTCTGAACAGTAAAGATTCCATTCACTCTATCATCAAAATATGAAATAATGTCTGTTTTTTATGTCTGTGCAAATCTTTCAAAATGGGAGCTTTGTAATAAATGGGGACACAATTAAGGCATCTCTTTTTGAAACAAGAGAGCAACCATATCTTTTTCCAGGCCTGGGCTGTTGTTTTGTAGTACCTCTCAGTTCCCTCTTTAAGTGTATAATATGCAGAGCCATTTTCTTTGCTGAATGTATGGAATTAGTTGATATACCATCTACATCTGTATTGTTTGAAATGGTCATGTTAATTCAGGACCAGCATTATAGGTTATCTGCCAAATACTCAAAATGGCCCATAGCCAATCTTGCTGATCTGGTGAAATTGAACTTACTACAACTAAATCATTTTATTTGTGACACTGTTGCAATTTCTATTGCCACTGCTGTTTCAAACCAGCCCAACTAATTTTCTAGTTAGGTGACAGTGTTTCTAGGTAACAGTCAAGTTAATACTAGGTTCCTTTCTATCATCCACTATATCATATTTGCCGATATGCAATGCCCATCTTGACATTTTGAGTGATTCACAATAATATGGCAACCAACTGGCACAGAGTGAAGCTTATTGTTGAGTTGGCTCAACTTTTGTTCAATTTAGTGCTACATTAAGGACGGGGATCTGATTCACTAACAGCTACAGGGCATAATGGCAGTCTAGGAGAGCACTCGTGTCTGAATGTTAAGGGGAAATACTCAAATTCTGATCTAATGTGGGATCATTAGCAATATCATGCTAAAGGGTTACTAAAGTCTGCCATCAGCCTGTATCCATTGAGAAAAACCTGAAGGAGGTCTAATGAAAAAGTAAAATGATATTTTAGTATGAAAAATTGTGTCTGGAAGATAAAAAGGATGAAATACAATACAAAATAATGAGTGAGTGAAAGCGGTTTGAATAAGGCAGAAGGGATGAAAAAGGCATTAAAACTTGTGCATAGTTTGATAAGTTATTTGCATATTATAGTTTTTGGGTTTTAGGGTTGGGTTATTAAGATTCTGTTAATGTAGCTTGAATACATTAGTATACAATAGAATTAACTCATCTGGCTGTTTCCTGTCTGGTTTACCTTGCAACCCTGACATCAATCTTGCAAGTCTGAAAGTACTTTTCTCCCTCTGTCGTTTTTACAGCACACAAAATTAGGAAGTTGGCTTCTGAGCTGTTTGTTCTGCCCATATTCCTGCTGTGGGCTCAGCTGCTTTTTATTTGCCTGTTCCTTTGGCTGCATCTCTTTGCCCTGTTTTCCAAGGTCATTCCCACATACTACTTTAACACCCATGTCCTGGACTAACCCGAGTTATGAGTGGAGCTGAGAATCAAATCATTTCCAGACTAACAACTCTTCTCAGGCAAAATTTAACTTCAGTCTGTTTCATTACATTCAAGTTTGTGAGAGGAACATTGAATGACAAAGAAAATGATAGTTCTCTCTCCTCAGAGGAGGGAAGTGTAAAGGTATAGGCAGGTATATACAGAACCACAGTAAATGACTAAATTGTAGACCTGTAAATAAAGTTGAAATAGTGGGTAGCACAGAGCAATCTAAAATTAGTAAGTAGAAAGTAAGAATAAACCCTAGGAACAAGAAAAACAAACTAAAACTTTGGAATTATAAATAAATATTTATTTTGAAGCCAATTTCATAATAAAATAATTTTGAAGGGCATTGTTCAATCTCTTGTTTAATTCTAACTCCCACTCCCCCTCAAAACTCCCCCCAACAATATGCCTACATCCAGGCCCCTAAAGATTTGGCCTCTTTTACTGTATCTCAGTTTACCTCATCCTGGTCAAGGTTTTCCACAGCAACTCTTGCCCGGCCTGGCCTAACCAAAGGATCACCGCTTATAGCAATTTCAGGTAACTCTTAAAAAGCAGAATAAGAGGACACAATTCTATGGCATCCCATGTCTAGCAGACTGATTTCTCTCCTTCTGGTGCTGGTGCTGTCCAGTTAAGAGCAGAACAGAACCCTCTTCTCCTTGCCTGTCATCCAAATGATACTGCCAAAGAATAGGCTCAAAGGTGAGTTCATACCCTTCTTTGGTCAAATTCACTTTTGATCTTCCTCCAACAAACATCAAAACATCTTTTCTGATCATTTATCTTCCAGAGCTCTTCTGGATTGGCTGACCAAAACTGATCAAGGACAGTCACATCTTGATCTCTGGTCATCTTCCAACTCTATATCTCAAAAATGGAATTAGGTAGAACTGCCAGTGAGGTTACTGGGAAAATTCCCAAATGTCCTTTAGAATTCATCACAGTTTCACTGCTGAACATATTTTGTGTTGAAATAATTCCAAACCCCACTGACACCACTGTGGTGCTTTTTTTTTTCCTTTCTGAGGAGGAATTTGAACCATGCAGATGGGCCCAGCAGGCAAACAAGTAGGAGAGCACTTTCAGCCAAAATAGCATGTAAAAATAATTTATTTTAAAGCCTCTAGTTATGGCATGACCTAAATGTTTCCATTTGTTGTCTCTCTAGGTCATCCTATAACATGGTTTTTCTAGATCAGTTGTCCATCTGTTGAGTCATCTGATATGTATTTAGTTAAATAAACACATGGCAGTATTACAATAATATCAATGTAGTCATTAGTTGACCAATAGATAAATCTGATTTTATTTTGAAGACTACCCACATTACAGGGGCAGAAATTTCTATTCAGGTACTATTTTTCTACCACAGATTAAACACGGATCTCCACACTTATAGTTTGCCAGCTAATTCTTTAGTTTATTTGGTGCAGAGGATTTGTACAACAAATTTTAAATTAATATTAACATTCCCAGTTTTTTACATTCTGTTGTGGGATTGGGGATCTGTCTCTCTCCAGCTATACCTAGATTACATTTCTTGCCTAATGCCTAATGAAACAGGGAATTGTAGTTTAGCAATATCTATGTTCCCATACCTGTTCTAGAAAGGATTCTTACTCTCCCCCTGGCTTAACCTTGGCACCAACTGTTCTTCATTATCTTCTTTGCTGAGTACAGCTTATAAAGGGCAATGCATCTGTTGTTGGTTATGTGATAGTAAACAAAGGTCTTTAGTTTCCTCTTTATTGTCTGCCAAGTACCTTTACTGCAGCATTTCTTAAAAGCTCTTTAATGAGAACACACATCTGCCAATTATGTATCCAATAAACTTAGAAGCTATAAAATTACAGGGCAATAAGATGTGCTACAAAATTATTTACTGCATGGAATGAATTCTACAGCTCTTGCTTTGTATCTTATGGCTAACAGAATGAACTCTTTTAATTGCCGGCTGTACCAAAAAATGGATAAAGATTTCTTTAGCAACAACCAAGTTACACATTTGAACATGCATCTCCAGACTAGAGATCATCTGGGAATACTCTTGTTAAATGAAAAATCCTTTCATATCTTAAATATGTTTATTATCAATTTACAGGCTAATGGTAATTGCAGACCAGTATATTTTACAGTATATTCTACCTACTCTGATTACCAACCAACTATGTCTTAAGATCAGGAGTAAGGGTTCAAGTGATGGGGACATGAAGTCTATTCACAGGAAACACAAAGTTTCTTTTTCTTTTGGTCAATTCTTCTTTACTGGCCCCTCTGGCTTCCTGGCTTCTGCCAGAGGGTTAAAAGATCATTTTATTTATTTATTTATTTAAAAATATAGTCTGGTATCTTCTCTTGATTGTTTGTATTTGATCATAGTTATATGGAGGTAAGCAGCATGCAGCAGATCTGGAGAGCACAGGTCATAGGGGCAATCATGGCATTCTGCAAGGCTTGTGTACCTTGGGGAATGGTGTGAGGCAACCTTTTTGAGTGGCAGTGGTGGCACTAGGGCTAAAGCTGAGGCCCAGGCCTCTAGTTGAAATTCAGCCTCAGGCTTGTCGCCAAGTGCTGCTATTTCAGTGTGGCCTAAAAATGGGGGGGGCAGAGGGGGGAGGAAATAGAGAATTGCAAGATCCAATCTGTGTCAGTCACTGGGACCAGAGGTTTAGTCTTCTAAGCTTTTGGACTTTTGGAATTCCCTGAGGATGCTCCAGCACAAGTCCGAAAGCTTGGAAGATTAAACCTCTGGTCCCGGTGACCAACCCAGTTGGATCTTGCAACATTATCCTGGGACACCTATATTTACCTTCATTTGTGAAATAGAGAATTGTTTCTTTTTTGTTGGTGGGAGAAGATGACATGTCAGCAGAGTCACATTAGGCATTTTCTGAATTGTTGACACCTTCATCCCAAAAGGTTCTCCATTACTGCAATATAACAAGTGGGGTTTATAAGAGAGACAACTAAATATGAGATATTAATTTTCATATGATGACCTGGTTGACCTATAAATTCTTGAAGACTTCTAAGCTGTAGAAAGTCCTTGATGTGCTGTATTCACTGCCATGTTTTAAGGATATACAAACAATTACTTTTGACAGTCTGCTGCATGGATATCATATGAAATTCCTAATTACATCTCTTTGAAATATGTTTTCCAAGCCTGAGCTGTTGATACAGAATTGAAGAGAATCAAGCAAACAGACTTTTCAACTGTTGAT